GGCGAATCCTGACAAGTGCCAAATCATCATTGATATGACTAGCCCTCAGAATGCCAATGAGGTCCAAATACTTGCCTGCCAGATTGCTGCCCTCACCAAATTTCTGCCCATAACGACAGAAAGGTCTCGACTCTTCATTGATTTGCTCAAGAAATCGCAAAAATTTGCTTGGTCTGACGAATGCGAGACTGCCTTTCTCCAGTATAAAAATGTGTTAGCGACACCGCCTATGTTGATAAAACCAAAACCAGAACAGTATATGATTATTTACTTGGTTGTATCAGAAAATGCAATCAGCTCGGTCTTATTACAAGAAACACCTAAACCAGCTCCACTATACTTCATTTGCCAAATGCTCCAAAGTACCGAAACCCGATATCAGTTGATGGAGAAGATAGTGCTGACTCTAGTACACACAGCTCGTCGGCTGAGACATTACTTCCAAAGCCACCGGGTGATCATACGCACCGACTGCCTAATGACCAAAATTTTAAGAAAACCAGAGTTAGCTGGTCGGTTAGTGGCATGGACAATCGAGCTATCCCAATTTGATATCTATTTTGAAAATTGGCACCCTCTTAAAGTTCAGGTGCTTGCAGATTTTGTCAATGAGTTCACCACCCTGAAGGAGACCAGCACAAATATGTGGAGCCTACATGTAGATGGATCGTCAAACCGACAAGGTTGTGGAGCAGGAATTATACTAGAAGGATCGAACACCTTAATAATTGAACAATCCATTCGGTTTGGATTTAAAGCATCCAACAATCAGTCTGAGTATGAGGCACTGCTGGCCGGCCTCAGGCTAGTAAAGGAAATTGGAGTCAAAAGCATCACTTGTTAGAGTGATTATAAGGTAGGGGTCGAATAGGTCAATGAAACTTTTTAGATAAAGGACTTGGTTATGCTCCAATACTACCAGGAATTTAAGAATATAGAAGAGGTATTTAACGAGGTACATGTCCGGTACACACCGAGAACCATGAATGAACAAGCTGACAAGCTTGTTAGGCTAGGTAGCCAAAGGAAACCAGGACAATTATAAAGAATGATTCATCAGGAGATCCCTAAACCCAACATTTCTACACAAGAGTGCATGGACATAGAAAATATGCCTCAAAATTGGATGACCCCAATTATCCAGTATCTTACTGATAGCAACTTACCAAATGATCCGGCCTTGGTTAAGAAAATAAGAATGCAGGCAGCCAAGTACATCATTCTTGGTAAAGAACTATATAAAAGAGGAATTTCAACACCCCTATTGAAATGTCTTGATGAAGATCAGGCCATTTATGTCATGAGGGAAATTCATGAAGGCATTTGTGGCACCCATTCGGGCGGACGAACCATGGCAACTAAAATTTTGAGAGCTGGATACTTCTGGCCGATACTATCCAAAGACTACGACATCTTTGTAAAGAAGTGTATTCCCTGTCAGCAAAACGATCCTCATATACACTGACATGCCAACACCCTTCATACTATCAGTGCTCCCTAGCCCTTTGCCATTTGAGGAATGGACCTCCTCGGCCCTTTTTCCTTGGCAAAAGAGCAATTTAAATTCATGATTGTCGCTGTGGACTACTTTACTAAGTGGATTGAAGCAGAGCCACTCGCCACCATTACGGAAAACAATGTACAGAAGTTTACTTGAAAAAATATCATCACCCGTTTCGGTCTCCCTCATGCCTTGATCATAGATAATGGTTTACAGTTCACAGATCGAAGATTTAATGAATTTTTGGAAGGGTTTCAAATCAAACATAAAGTCACATTTTTTAACATCCTCAGACTAATGGACAGGCCGAGGCTGCAAACAAGGTCATCTTATATGAACTTAAACAAAGATTGGGTTCGACGAAAAGAGAATGGACAGAAAAATTACCCGAAATCTTATGAGCTTATCGGTGTAGCCACAAACAACCACAAAGGAGACACCTTTTCAGTTAACCTACAGTACTTTTGCCATAGTGCTGATAGAGAATAGGGAGCCATCGTTTCAAAGACAATACTTTGACGAATCAACTAACGACGAATCCCTAGCTGTCAACCTATAATTATTGGATGAAGTACGCGGTCAAGCAGCGATAGTGGCTGAGGCCAGCAGAAGGATAATGGTAAGGAAATTTAACTCAAAAATTAACCCAAGACAATTCTATGTTAATGACTTGGTGTGGCGAGTAACAGGAGAAGCACACCGGGACCGACGGGAAGGGAAGTTGGCTGCTAATTGGGAAGGGCCCTTTCAGGTAGTAACACGGCTAGACAATGAGGTATACAAACTGGAGACACTCGAAGAAAAGACGATACCAAGAACTTGGAACAACACACATTTAAAGCATTACTTCAGTTAGATATTTGTAATATGTAATCGATGCACTCTTTTCCTCACCCAGGTTTTGTCCCCTTAAAAGAATGTGAAAAAGGGGTTTTCTTGGGAAGATTTTTAACGAGGCATATTATCAATAAAATACCTCTTCTACAGCTATTCGGTTATCTTGACTCTCACTTAAATTCCCTCCCGAGTACCCCTACTCAGTTCCCGAGTACCCCTTACTCGGCCAAGGACGAATCAACTATTAAAATTCCCTCCCAAGTATATCTTGGTCAAAGTTGAATTAATTAATTTCCTCTTGAGTACCCCTACTCAGTCAAGGATGAATCATTTATTAAATTACCCTCCCGAGTACCTCTACTCGGCCAAGGATGAATAAATTATTAAAATTCCCTCCCAAGCACTTCTTGGCCAAGTTTGAATTAATTAATTCCCTCCCAAGTATCCCTACTCGGTCAAGGGTGAATCATTTATTAATTCCCCCTCCCGAGTACCCCCTACTCGGCCAAGGATGAATCAACTATTAAAATTTCCCCCCAAATACTCTTACTCGGCCGAGAACGAATAAAAGTACCCTCTCGAGTACCCCTGTTTGATCAAGGATGTATCAAATATTCAATTACCCCCTGGATGCCTCTATTCGGTAAAGGACGAATCAATTATACCTTAGCAAGAAAATCACTATTAAACTTTCAGTATTATCAGAAGATTTCGTTATATCACTTAATTGATTCTACCTAATTGGTTGAAGTCATTGTTACTCATAAAAATATTAGTAGTCAGCTAACAATAAGACAAGAAATCAAAGGAAAAATTTGGTATTCATTTGCCATTAAGCATTACAAAAAATTAGGCACTATCGGCCTCCTGTTTACAAAAAATATAACAAAAACCTACACCCTCCTTCGATCTCCTGATGGGTCAGGGCATCCTCTTCAACGGGGTTCAAGAGTTGGCTTGGTGCCAAGGCATCGGGTTCCACCTCCTCATCAACTTCATCATATGGTAGGAATCTCCCACCAAAAAAGTCCCTAGTAAGGTCAAAATTGAAGCTTGAGGGGATCTGACAGAACTCAACAGCTTGGCAGACAACATGATTGAAGCTGGCTTCGTGCTCCGTAACGATTTTAATATTACTCTCGTCGGTCAAAACCTTTAGCTCAGTTTCAGACTTTTGCTTCTCCTTGTCCAATTCCAAGCCCTTTGCCTCCAATTCCACATTCTTGGCCTTAAGCTCTAGGTTTTTAGCCTCCAGCGTCTCCTCGGTGGCACGCAGTCAATTTCTCATAATATAGAAGTGCTCTTTCAGTTAAGCAACTTCCTCCTCCAATGACTTGTTGGTCTTGACCAAGTTTGACCGGACCTCTTCACTCTGTGCAAGCGCCTGTTCGAAGGAGGAGAGTCGGCTTTGGACCCTTTCCAGCTCTTACAGGGGTTCCAAAGCAAAGCTATGTAACATCGCCATGGCCTGAGCCTGGAATTCGCAATACCATTGCCAACGAGTCCTGTGGGTCTGCTTATTTATAAGGACTCGTCCCGACTCTGATATGGAATCCGGACATACCATTCGGTTGACCCGAAAACCTTAAGCAAAGAAGGATTTGGATATGGTGTCAAGCGGCACAACAGTGTCAGCAGAGGAACTCCCCCGACTACTTGACCCAGCATCATGAGCATGCTTGGGTCTTTTTTCTTTCTCTGACTCCTTCTCCTTGCCTTTGTCTTTTCTTTTCTTTGATCGACCCTCGGCAAGGGTAGGATCTTGAGGAGAAGAGCGGGCTTTAGCTACAGGTGGCAACTGATCTATTACTGGGTGTCGGTGAGCATGGGCTGGAGTACCTTCAGCTTGAGACCATGCCGATAACCCAAACCGACTCATCTTTGTGCCATTATCCCTACAATGCAAACAAGTTGAATCAATATAAACCAACGCTCAAAGGAAACAAAAATGAAAATATGAAACATACCATCCATATCCAACCGAGGTTTGGGGGACTTCAACAACAGAACAAAGGAGCGGGCAGGGAGCTCCCTAGGCAGAGTCTTTATATACTCCAGAGTCGATAACTCCTCAGCCGACAATATTTTCTTAGGATAAATGTCATACCGACGAGGTATCCGGGTCCAATGGAAAGGAAAGAGGGGTCAATTTTCTTTATCAAAAAAATATTTCTTACCTATAGGGTTCACGGTTACCTTAAAGTAACTTGTTTTGAAACCCTTAAAAGACGAAGTATAAGGTTTGAATAGGGGCAACTTGGCTGCCTTAATAAAGACACCCATCTCGCCTTATCAGACGGACGAGTACAAAAAAAATGAAGAAATAAACCTACACTAGGTTCTATATAATAAAATTTACAAAGGATCCTAAACGCTTACATGACCGCCCACCTACTCGGATGCAGTTGAGTAGGTGCAACGTTTAACATCCTTAAAACTCTCATTTGAAAGTCGTCAAAAGGGAGCCTAATACCTAACTCCCTAAACATATACTCATACACGTAGAAGGTGTTGACCATTTCAGCATCTTCCCTAGAAATACAAAGTCTGGGTGGTCGGATCTATCCCCCCGACAGGTGTTTATTGTTATAGGATACGGATCCGAACCCTCCCACAAGGAAATGTCAAAGTTATCTACAAAAGTTTGAAGGTGTTTATTCCTCTAGAACTGAGAAAAGTAGGCGGCCACCTCACCATGCACCCATTCATATCCAGGTATCGAACATGGGGCAAAAATAGGTCTTTCTCTTAGGGGGCTCGCATCTAGAAGAGGTTCACCCGACTCAGCACTTGCATGGGACCGTTCAGCATTGTATTCATCCTCCCTAATATTAACCTCAAAACTATCCCTATTCGGTTGTGAATAAACTTCTTCAAACCTTCTATCATTCGTGAGGTCCCCACCCTTGGCAGTAGTAGTCGGCCTCACATGATCCGACAGGGAGTCTTTCCACACAATTAAACTAGCCATGATGATAACAGGAAAAGAGAGGAATGAAAGAAGCAAAGCGTACCTTTCAGTCTGAAGAAAATAACTATGGAAAGGCGTGAAAGGCAATGCACAAAAGGTACTCTTCGGTCTAGAGCAAAAAAATGTGAATTGAAGGCTGGTCCACCACTTATTTATAGAAGCCAGGGCTTCGGGTAAGCGAAGGGTCACACATTCTCTGAGGCTCAAAACACGAGGAAACCCTAAAAATTTGAAACCCTAACTCGTCAAAGCTGACATCATCATTTTTCTCTTCTAAAATCAAATGCTTGACATGAAGATATCGCCAGAAGTAAGCTGGCTACTTGACGACCATGTATTCTCATAGCCGAGCACTTCACCAATTAATTTAAGCTCTTTCGTCCTAGCTCCTCGGGCTTGGGAGGCTAGTGTACCGGATAGGGCACTACTTGGTCCTACTCAGAGAAAGAGGAAACTAAGTACCTATTCGGCCTACAAAGGATGGGTACCTCTCCAAGCACGCTAATTATAAATTAATAAATAATTAAATCTATTTAGATAAAAAAAAAAACCAAGAATATTATCTGCTTAATTATCAGGCTAAGAATAGAGCTAACTCACAAGGCCCATGAGCCCATAATATCTCTTATAAAAGGAAGATAAGAGGTACAGGTAAAGAGTTGACTTTTAAATATTGAATAGTATTTACCACGGAGAATCGAGACCTGACTTCAGTATTGGAGTGCCTTTTGCAGGTATTCTCCCCGCATCAGCAACGTACGGAAGGACGTCATCCTATCCAAGCAGAGATCAAAAGAATAGTATTTTCCTAGCAGGAACAAGGAGTTTTTTTAATTTGTATTTTCTTTTTGAATAATAGTTTTCTTTATATTTATTTTTTTTTTCTATTTCATTATGTGTAATTAAATCTATAATTAGGGTTACAGTAGATCCTTTGCATACTTTATGTGATCTTTCTGTTTAATTACAATATTAATTTTTTTTAAGATTGATTTTTGCCTTATCGTGTTTATATGTCAATGTTGGGATTTGACCACTCTTAACATCTCATAGTTGATTGCATGATAGACGACGATATCGTATGTAGTTAATAGTACTATAAGGTAAAATGGAAAAAGTAATTATGTGGATCAAACTTAGTTTTTATCTTTCAATTTGGTTATTGAAATAACAAATTTATAGGTTTTTTTATGTTTTTTTCTCTCTTTTTACTTTACATTATCATTGAGAGTAATAGCTTGAGGAAAAGAATATTGATGTATAGCCATTAAATTCGTAGAAAAATCAGTATTGAGATTGAACTGAAAGTGAGTATAAAGATTTGTAAAAATCAAACCATATACCTTTAATTTTATCTCGAATAATTTTCTTGTTAAAAGTTGTATTGTGTTTTTTTCTCTTTTTAGTTACTTTCTTTGGTTTAAATTTTTTATTAATTTTTCTTATTATATTGCACATATTTTGGTTCAAGTAATTAAATCATGATATTCTTAATAATTAAAAATATTATCTGCGAGATGATATTATGCAATCTTAATTTGAGAACCTTTAATGTTACTTTTTAATCGATATACTTGCTAACAAACATAGCGCAAGGACCGCTATATGCATCAAGGTGACCGCAATATCTACAATGGAAGTAAATATCATACAAAAAAATAAATGAATGGAAGTAAATAAAAGTGCTCTGCAATGGAGGACTTGGGGTGCTCTCGTTCCAAACTACATTCAGGAAGATCAAGATTTGAGGTCCTTATTAGAACTGCCCATAGTGAGCTAGAGTTGATAAAACAAGTTGTGTAAAGATAGGAAGTAAGGAATGTATATGTTGTTTTTAATTCAAGCATTTTATAAAATGACTTTCAGTGAATGATGGTTAGACTTTCAATTTCTTACTTCATACATCTTTTCACTTTATAGGAGTTAAATCCCGGACAATAATGCCAAGTGAAGGCAAACTTAACAATGGAGACTTCCTAGTGATCCACCAAAAACTGAAGAAATACCTTTCAAGGCCATCAATGCTCAAAAAGTTTCCAAGGGAAAGTACAAAGCAACTGCTGAAAAACAAGTTTGCATTCTAAGATAAGAAAAAAGCCTATAAATTACGCAGCCGTTGAATCACAATTTGAAAGGTTATTAATAATGCACGCAAACATTTAAGGATCATGACAATTTTTTCTCCGTTGCCCCCTAAAATTCAGCAGGGGCATGTCAAAGTTCACACAGACAGATAGATTTTGACCATTAACTGAATGCAATTCAAGAGAGACAACGCCAATAATTGATAGAGCATATCATGAACATAGAAAATTAACAACATGGGAGATGAAATGACTAAGCAGTGACACAATAGATAGAACACAAGGACCACATATATTTTTAAAGTCTATCTTAGTCAAACACTTGCTGAAATTATTAATTAATCATGGGATGAAACTCCTACAAAGGAATGTGTCATATTGAACTTGTAATCAAAATGAATAAAGGCCAAAATGAAGCCAGCGCACTTGTCATCACAGGTAGCAATTTCAAATCGGAAGGTTTAGTTCCTCAAGAAGATGACGACACAAAAAACTTGGTGAGATTTGTTTGCAAATTGCCCTTGTATTTTATTATGCCCCTAAAGTAAAAGAAATATTTTTCCTTCAATGTGGGTCAGCATAAGAATTTGAGGGCCTCATGTGCACAACCACGTTCATTGATGTCAAAGAGCCAGGCCAATCCCCATCATGTTCTGATAAGGCTGAAGTTTGATTGCACCCTTTAAAACAGCAGAAAAATAGAAAAACTGATAAAGGCACCTTTGGAAAAGGGTCAGCAGTGACCCTATGCTGACGGTTATTTGGCCAGGGAATAAAGCAGAACCGTCCTATTGTCCGCTTGAGGATAATAAAAGAAGCAAACAAAGCCTTAACTTTGTGCACTTTTTTTTTGGGTAGATAAAATTAATTTTAAAGGGAGAAGACATGCCCATTTTAATGGTAAAAAAGTTGATAAATTTAAAAATCACTTATGAAAACTTACATTTATCTTTAAGCAAATCCTATTTTATTCCGCTTGATAAAATTCCTCAAGATTTAACTGTGTGCGCTTTAATAAGATTTCACCATATCATATTTTTATTGAACTTTGTACGAAGATAAAATAAAATAAAATACTCAAGTTGATAAAAGGGGCAAAAGAGAGAAAGCATGGTAATGTCAGGGAATACTTTTATATTTTATATACATATGAAAACAGTTATGGATTCCACGTCCCATAATAGGGGCTTTTCTTAGCATCCAATAAGGTGGAGGAGGCATAAGCCAGACAAGGCTAGCCTCAGTCCTTTTTCCTCTAGCAGCAACTTACATAATTTTTTCCCTCTTCTTTGGATGAATGATATTAATTCTACAAAATCAGCAATGTACAAATATTTCCTATTTGATGATTCAGGTATTGAAACTGAAACTAGAATATATTCTTCTACGACATCTTGCAATAAAAGAATGAGGTGGCTTTTGGACATTATCTACCTAAAATAAGCTCAATCTAACGTCACTACCACATGCTTGTTGCTGGAATGTGACTAATGGTGGGGTAAATGGGTGTAAGTGTAGCCACTCATGAAAGGTATCTTCCAATTGAATTGCCTTGCCTCTTCGCCGTATAGCTGATCTTGTTGCCCCATCATTTAGAAAGTGTGTTGCCCCTTGTTCTGCAAAATAGGTACCTTTAATATATATCATGCTTGAGATACTCCATTTTGCAACTTGAAGGATGTAAAATCCCAACTTTTTCGTTTGTTTGATATATACACATGAATCACTCCATAGAATTATAATAATATTCTTCTCAAACAAAGCCACAAAGGGCTGAAGTCAGCAAACACACTAACATCCAGTAGAACAAGCTTTGAAATTCCTTTGATGCTGCCTGCTTCAAAATAAAATTTGATTTAAAGATAAGAAAAAAAAAATAGATAAAAAAAGATAATTAGATTGGCATTGATAAGATGTACCAACTAATAACTACTTACGTAAAAATAGCGAGATTGTATACTTGAAAATATTTTTGCTAAAATATATAATTATGAATGAGAGACAATCTGTAAATTACATACAAACACATTTTTAAATTAATACACACTTCTCTCAATTTTCTAAAACGCATTCTCTTTCTGTCATATAACTTCTGGTAGAAGCTAAAAGACTTATGTTGAGAAGTGAAAAAAAAGAAAAAAAGAGACTGGTTTTATTTTTACCTTTGTCTTAGTGGAAGAGGAGGTAAGAGAAATTGAAGTGGAAGAAGTGGATGTGGCTGCAAAAGCAGATAGCCCCACATTGTAAGTCATTTTTTCATCAGGTTCAAAGAGACCATAGTTCCTTTCCGAGGTTGCTCCAGTCTTCAAATCTTCATTGAACAATGCAAAAAGGTATGCTTCCAACCTCATTCTAGGACTAAGAGGAGTCCCTTCATTTGCCATTTGCCTTCTCAACAGATTCTTGTTATAAGTTTGAGCATTCTGCACTGTGGCACCAACTTCATCAGGATCTCCTTTGGATGGCCACCCAGTCTCAGACACCCTAACCTCTATCCCACTAAAACCCAATCTAGCAATGGCAAATGCAACTGCATCTACCTGAGCATAAAGCATGTTGTCGTAGTGTAACTTTGTGTTAGGGTCAACCATTCCTTCATTAGGATTAAATAATACATAGTCCAAAGAAATCTCATTAGGATCATTCTTGTAAGCAAAATAAGGATAGGCATTGATCCAAAAGGGTGCCTTAGTGTTGGACAAAAAGTTTAGAAACTGGTACATGATCCCAGAAATCTCACTTTTGAAACTACCAGCTGAAGGAGGGTAAGATTGCTCAAGCACTGCTAAGGAACTAGGTGTGGAAACATGGATGTTAGAGTCTATGCCTAACTGAACTAGAGCATAGTGAATGTTAACCACTGCTGGCACAAGAAACTGAATAAGAGTGGTGTCACCTTCAGTGTATAACTCATTCCCTACTTGAATCCCGGTGATCTTTGTGTTTGGGAGATACGGTTTGATATGGTCACTTACCCATTGAAGTGCTTGTTGGGGATTATTTAACTGACTTAGTATTTCGTTTTCAATTGTCACAGTGACCTCAACGTTTGAATTAGCAAAAGCATTCAAAATCAATGGGTTGGTGTCATAAATTCTTGTTTTCGTGATCTTAAAGTTGCTGAAGAGTTCAAGGACCCTGTCTGGTGGCGGCAAATTGTTACCTACTTGGCCATAGTTGATTCCAAATGATGCAACACGTCCAAAAAATCCAATATCTGTGATTGCAATTGCAATATCAGTGAAGCTTGTTAGTACTATTCCGAATAATTCAATGGGAATCAAACTTTATTCTACTCTTTCCAATGGAGCCAAAAATACAAACACCAAAATGCAACAATATAAACATACACAGAGAACAGAAAAGAATTAAGAATAAAAATAAAACAAACATGACACCTGCAGAGAAAAACGTCACAAAAATATAGCTGATCGTTATTCTTCGGATAAATGTTGCCATTGTGACTTGTGATTAAGGACAGAGAGATTAGAGTAATAAAAATATGATAGATATAGAGCTATCTTCTGCAGGGGAATTCCTTTATTTTCTTGTTTCAAAATTTTGGAGGCAGAAGAAAACAGGGAAATGATAGGATTTATGTATGGTTCGTTAAGAGTTATTTGGGAGGTTACCTTAGCTAGTAAGGGCTTTCTAATTGCTTTGCCTTGTCCTTGTATTTATATCCTTTTGGACAGAGATGTCTCTTTCTAACCCACCCAATTGTCTAAAATACCCTTAACAAAGTCACTTTCTTCGTGCAAAAGCAAAGAGGAACTCCACTACTTGGTAAAATACTAGAGGCAAAGCCATCACAGGATCCCAAATTTTGAGGTTAGGTGAAATTTTTGTTGACCCTTAAGACCATGTATTCCGTAATACTAGTCGTGCTTCCGTTCATCTGCACAAAACACATCACCTCACATTTAACGCATACTTGACTTGAATCAAAATATGTGACTAAAATAATGTCAACTAATTATAATCAAATAATAAAAATTGTGTAATGTAAAAGTGTGGGTGAGTGAGTAGGATATTCATTTGTGTTGTTTATTAGACCACATAGGTTGGCACTGAAGAGCCGTGTAGCCATAGTGCTTTTCTGTAGTAGACTGGTAGGCCCATCGGAACTCACCCTTTTTGACTTTGCAATCTTTTTCTTCATCAAATTTTTGAGCCGTGATGTGTAACAGCAACCTTTCTTCGCAGGACTGCGTGTAAAATCTGTTATATCATTTTTCAGAACACTCTTAATTTTTTATAATATTAAAAACACTTTGCTCATTATTTATAATGTAAAATTTACGCTACTCCTTATAATCGAAAGGGTTTTATATCTTCTTTTATATATGAAATAATTTTTATAATTAATTTTATATTAATAGATAATAAAATTAATAATTTAATTAAAAAATACATTGATATCTTTTTATTTTTAAAAAAACACAAAATATTTTCTCAAATTTACAAGTATCACAACAAGCATTTATTTATAAATAAAGTCATGTTATTTTTCTAAAGTTATATATGTTTATTCTTAAGAAAAATTAATATAACTTAATTATTTATTAGAGACAACTTTAGGGATTTCTATTATTTTTTTGGCAAAGCTAGTGTCGTGGATCATGTGCCTGACTTCAGACATCCGTTTCTGTTGTTAAATATTATTTATTCATTTGTTTTTATAAATAATTGACTTTACTGATGTTTTATATAGGATGCTTCAAATATATGTCAGAAGAAAAATGTTTGCAGAGTCGGTGTCTCTTTTTATAGGTGGTCCTTGTTTGAAACTTTAAAAACAACTTTTTATTTTAATGAATTTTAATAACAATATAATTTATATTTTTTTATCACAAATATTTTCTGTAAGAGATGATTTTGTTCAATTAAAAAATATTTATAATATAATAAAACTAAATTTTGCAATAAAGATATTTTATCTACATATCTCTAGTTCAAAATTTTACTTTATTAAAATAAAATATATTATTAGAATTAATGGTCGTTAATTATTTTGTCTTGACATTTAATAAATATTAATAGACACTTTTAAGATAATAGTTGATGGATTAAAAATAATTTTTTATTAAAGAATATTATTAGTATATTTTAAACATAATTTTTCATAAATATTTTTAGGATACTGATAACAGAATCTCCAGATAGATCCTACTTCTGGCAATTAACTAATGTTGTAAATTTACGTGTCATATATACATGCAAATATTAATTTGTAACCGTGACGTGTGTGAATTTGCTGAGAATTCCAGTTTTTTTTAAACAATTTTATGAATCATGAATACAACATCAAATTAAAAATAATTTTCACGTTCAAAAGAAGCAAAAGCAGCTAGTTTTCGTGAGGGAAATATAAATTGCATATATTAATTATATTAACTGATTGAAAGTACTGTTTGAAAACTGCACAGATTAGTTAAGATTATTTCAGATAATTAAAATTTGATAACTTTACCCTTTTTTTTAATATGTTATCAGTATAGAAACTTTACATTTATATTTAATGATCATTGTTATATCATATTATTAACCTAAAACTGTATGTAATATAATTAAATTTGTTAAGTTAAATATTGATGTATTGAATAATAAAAATACTTAAAATATATAAAAATAATATTTTTAATAAAACAGCGCCAAAAGTAAAAGGAAAAAAAAAAGTTATGTAATTTTCTAGTTTTCTTTTACTTCTACATGGAGCATATATGATACTCTTTGCTTATCCTTTTTATAAGATACCTTTAAATAAATTATATAATTTAATCTCCATTTAATGTAATTTTACTGAACACCACCATTAACGTTTATCTTTGTTAAACTCAATTTAGGTTTTTATTAACTCCTTTTATTACAGACAAGTAAAAATAGTCATAATAAATGTTTCATAGAAAATATAAAATATTTTATAAAATGGATCGTTAAACCATTCTTAAAAAAATGCCTTATAAAGAGAAATAGAGGAATTAACATGTGTTCCATCGCATTTGTATTTAACTCTTTGTCGACAAAATCCATTTTAGCATGTTTGTTTCCTTGTTTGTAAGCATTTAAATGTCTGTTGCCTTATATTATAGAAGGTTATTTGGTTTATTGTTGATACCAATTCTCAAGCATGCCACTGCAAAATAATAATTAATTAAATTTTAATAAATATATGAATTTAATTGAAATATATTATTAATTTTAAAAAAAATCACACTATCTTCCACTAAAAAAAATTTATGTTAAAAAAGTATTGATTAACAAAAAAATATTGATTTTGATAATATTTAATTTAAAAATTGTATTCACAATATATTTTAATTGATTTATAGTATAAAAGATTTTTAGATAATACACTAAACTCCAAGTATATATATATATATATATATATATATATATATATATATATATATTATTATTTTTTCAAGATAAACCAACACATACTTAACTCCTTTTAAAAGTTTTGAATATAGTATACTAATGTCAAAGGAAGCACAGTTGTCTCTTTTGTTAAATGCCTGGTCATGTTGATTAAAGTCCTAGACAAACAGGCAAATCATGCATCATTCATAAAACTCACAAAATCAAGAAAATAGGATACACGTACATATAGTTTTAGTTTTATCTTTTTCATGTATCTTTCGATGGAGATGATTATATTTGAGTTCGGAAAAATAAAGTTATCTTTTCAAGTATTTAATATGTGTATATTTTTTAGAATTTAAACTTCAAGTTATAAATTAAAATAAAACAATTGTACAATTATGCAGCAGTTGATTCACACACCTAATGAATTCTACAAATAATTCGTGTTTTCCATTAGCTGAAATAAATTTTTCATAGCTAATCTAAACACACGCCTAATTACTCTAATTATACTTAATTAGCTTAAGAGCGTTGTATTAAAAAAATTGATACAATGGATAGTTTAATCTATCTAAAAAAAAAATCTAAACTTGCTTCTTTTTGCTTTCCTCCCAAATTTTAACGTTCTCTTCCTCTTGGCATACTTGGTTTTCAAGAATAAATCAATATTTCAAATTTTAATGTGTGAATGTTCGAAAAAGAAGTCTGAAAATAATATCGTACTGTTAAAAAGAATCATAATATAAAATAATCCCCAACACTAACCCTGAAATCATGGAATAGTCTAATTAAAAGTCTAGGTAACAAAATGTCCATGGATTGTTTGTCGTCATTTTTACTTTATATATAATGATTCATCAATCAACCAAGCGCAAAAGGATAGAAAAATTTGGGAATATACAGTAGTTGAGTTAGATGACAAATATAAAGTGGAAGACCTCAAAGAGCAAAATTCTCTTCAAAAACTAATGCATACAAATGCTACTGAACATGCATGGGTGCTTTAGAATAGAGAAAAAAGAATAAACCCCAAGAATTTGAATGCTAATTTTTCTAAGGTAAAAGAGAAAAGGAAGGAAAATAATATCGCTTCCTAGTTTCATACATATAGCAACCAAATTTAGATTGTTAACTTTCATTGAACGGTGGCGTCATTTTATTAAATTTAAAAGAGATTCGTCTTTAAAAAACAAAAAGTTAGTCATTATACTTAATTGGTATCACTTATAGCGTTTGTTTAACAAAAATTAAAATTTTTAATACAATTATTGTAAATTTATATTAATAATATACTGATAATATATATTCATTTCATACATAAAAAAATTTGTATGTTAATATGATGCAATATAATGTTAGCTTTTACAATATTTATACTAATAATTCATTTTTTATTAGATAAAAAATGATTTAGCTTATAAAAAATGTTAGATAAAGTTTATAGGGAGCATTTTAATGATTAACATTTTTTTAGTTTATATGCATTTTTTGTTCTTTTACTTTTATTGATATATATATATATATATATATATATATATATATATATATATATAATGTGAAAATTGAACCCTAATCATCATATTTAATTAAAAGATTTAACTATATGTTGTTAATTATGCCGGCCATTTCAGTGTGGTTTTACTGTTAGTGTGTTTATTTATTCAATCAAAATGTCTCCACTTGTCTAGTTAATTAAATATGATATTGTCATTGGTGTGTCTTCCAATCATTAAAACAACATAGTAAGCATGGATGTGAATTATTTTAAATGACAATGGATTTATATATATATATATATATATATATATATATATAATTTAATAAAATAAGTTTAAATAAAACAATTCATCTCTGGAGTGATTTTTACCACCTTAACAATAAGTTTAGTCTCTAACTTATTTTTATTTTCTTAAAAAGAATTTTATACACTATAGCTGTAATATACCTTATGTCCATAATATGTAGTGCATGTAACGAGTATTCACACACCATAGAAATAAGACATAAATTTAAAATTTAGATATTAAGGTGTAAAAAAACGAAGCATATCGTTAAATAAGAAAATTTTACTAATTACATAAATATAGTTTTAT